AGCTACTCAGGAGGCTGAGGCAGGAGAATCGCTTGAATCTGGGAGGTGGACATTGCAGTGAGCTGAGATCGTGCCATTGCACTCCAGCCTGGGCAAGAAGAATGAAACTCACTAAAAAAAAAAAAAGAAAAGAAAGAAAAGAAAAGAAAAAGAAAAAGGAAAGGAAAGAAAAGAAAAGAAAGGAAAAGAAAAGAAAAGAAAGGAAAAGAAAGGAAAAGAAAAGAAAAAAAGAAAAGAAAAGAAAAGAAAAGAAAAGAAGGAAGAAGCCTGAATACAATAGACACTGAGGATCACTCCTGAAGGAGGAGGAGGAGTGGATAGAGCAGTCATGCAGCTCTCTGGAGAGGCCTGTTTGGGTGGAGGACACTGCCAAGGGCCCTAAGACAGGACTATGCTTGAAATGTCCAAGAAAGAGCAGAGGCCACAGGCGAGGAGGCGAGACTGTAGGAGACAAGGTCAGAGAGGGAGTAGAGGCCGAATCAGATATGAAGACTTGTGACCAGCATCAGGTTGTGGGCTACTGCTGGGTGGAGGAGAAGCCAGTTTTACAAAAAGAAGACAGACATGCCTGATTACATCTTAATGGGCTCAGTTCTGTGTGTTATCATAGACTACGAGTAAGGGTGACAGAGAGACTGTTGGGAGCTGTTCTAATTGCGAGGGTTGCCATAACAAAATACTGCAGCCTGGGCAGCTTCAGCAACGGACGTTTGTGTTCTTATAGTTCCTGAGACTAGAAGTCCCAGATCAAGGTGTTGGTTGGTTTCAGCTTTCTCAAAGGCCTCTCCTTGGCTTGTGCACGGCCACCTTGTGCTGTGTCCTCACATGGCCTGTCCTCTGTGTGTGCACCCCTGTGTCTCTCCCTTTTCTAAGGACAACAGTCGTATTGAATCCAGGCTCCACAATTATCCCCCTTTCACTTCTTTTTAAAGGCACTTATCTCCAACATAGTCATGCCGGGTTAGGGCTTCTGCATATGAATTTTGGGAGGACATAATTCAGTTCATAACAGGAAGCGACTGCACTAACCCCAACAAGAGAGGACCCTGCTTGGAGCCTGGTCTTACCAGTGGAGATGGTGAGAAGGAGCTGGGTTTCGGCTCTTTTCAGCAAGGTTGAATAAGACAGAACTATTTTTTGTTCCAGCATTCATGGGTATCAAGAATGAGTGGAAGGAAGACATTAAATTGTGAACACTAGAAAAAAGAGTAGCGAAGGGGTCAAGGGGCTGGAAGGAATTTTCTTTTAGCTCCTCTGTTTTTTAGGTTTCAAAACAAGCCTGTAATGCAGTCTAAGTAGAAATACGAAGGAATTTTTATTTAAATATAAACAATTTTTTTAAAAGCCTGTGGCTCTAAAATTTAAAAGTACAATTAAAAATAAAGAAAGGCATTTTGTTAGCTTTTTGGAATATAATAAACTTTCAGTAACATGCACGTATCTTAAGCTGCATAGCCCAATGAGATTTTACATATGTACACATTCACATAACCACTCATGTCAAGATGTAGAACATTTCTGTCATCTGGAAGATTTGCTCATTGCTCTCTCTCCCAATCAAAAGCTCCCAGAGGTAAACTACCATCTTGATTCTAACAATAAGGAATTGGTTTCCACCTATTCTTGTACTTTGTATAAGTGGAATCAAGTGATAAGTATTTTTGTGTGTGTATCTTACTTTTTTCATCAACATTATGCATATGAAGTTTATCCATGTTGTCGGCAGCTAAAGTTCCTTCACACTTATGGATGGGTTAGTATTGCATTGTATAAATAGACCACAATTTACTTATCTCTTTTATTTCAGATGAATAGTTGAGTTGTTCACCTTTTTAACCACTGTAATGTAAGTACAGTTTCAATAAAAACTTCTATGTATGTCTTTTGTTAGGTATATGAACTCATTAGGAAAAGCATTTCTTCAGCAAGTAAGAAATAGTTCCCTTCTCAATTAAAAGTAGTCCCTTCTGGCTGGGTAGTGGTTCACGCCTGTAATCTCAACACTTTGGGAGGCCAAGGCAGGTGGATCACATGAGGTCAGGAGATTGAGACCAGCCTCATCAACATGGTGAAATCCTGTCTTAATTTAAACAAAAATAAAAAAAGTAGTCTCTTTCTGTCTGTACAGAATCTTTTTTTTTTTTTTTTTTTTTTTTTTTTTTTTTGACGGAGTCTTGCCTGTAGCCCGAAGGAGTGCAGTGGCCGGATCTCAGCTCACTGCAAGCTCCGCCTCCCGGGTTCACGCCATTCTCCTGCCTCAGCCTCCCAGAGTAGCTGGGACTACAGGCGCCCGCCACCTCGCCTGGCTAGTTTTTTGTATTTTTAGTAGAGACGGAGTTTCACCGTAAGGCCAGGATGGTTCCCGATTCTCCTGACCTCGTGATCCGCCCCGTCTCGGCCTCCCTAAGTGCTGGGATTACAGGCTTGAGCCACTGCCACCTGCCAGAATCTTGTTAACAACAAATGAACACCTTTAGGCTCCTCAAGCATGATCACCTTCAGGATGGTACTGAGCTAGTTCATCCAAGCTCAGGAGAGCCCATTGTTAAGTTTTCAGGAATCTTGCAAACTGAATAGCAACTACAGACATTATTAAAAGTAGATTTATGCATTTCAATTAATTTCAAAAAATTGAAGAGGAAAGAATACTTCCAAATTCATTATATGAAGCCAGCGCTATCCTGATATGGAAGTCAAACAGACACTACAAGAAAAGAAAACTACAGACGAATATTCTTGGTGAATATTGACATAGAAATTCTCAACAAAATATGAGCAAATAGAGTTCAATAGACAAGTAAAACATTATACATGCTGACTAAGTAAGATTTATTCCTGGGAATGCAAGGATGGTTCGACATATGAAAATCAACAATGTGATATAGGATAATAAAGATGTATGACATTAGAAGAAAACCATGATTAGTGTGGTGGCTCACACCTGTAAATCCCAGCACTTTGGGGGAAGCTGAGGAGGCGAATCACTTGAGCCCAGGAGTTTGAGTTCAGCTCTGGCAACATAGTGAGACTCGTCTCAAAAAAAAAAAAAAAGAAAAAGAAACTGCCTCAACATAATAAAGGTCATATATAAGAAGCACACACAACTAACATCATGTTCAATGCTAAAAGACTGGGAGAACTTTTTCCAAGATCAGAAATAAAACAAGGATGCCCACTTTCACCACTTTTGTATTTAAATATAGCACTGAAAGTCCTAGCCAATCAAATTAGGTAAGACAAAAAAAAAAGCATCAAATTGCAAAGGAAGAAATAAAATGATCTATGCTCACAGACAACATGATCTTTTAGGTAGAAAACCACAAATATTCCACCAAAAACATCTGTTAGAACTAAAAAATGGATTAAGCAAAGCTGCAGGATACAATCTCAACATACAAAAATCAGTTGCACTTTTATATACTAACAATGAATAATCCAAAAGGAAATTAAGAAAATAATTCCATTAACAATAATATCAAAAAAATATTGAAGAATAACTCAGCCAAGGAGGTAAAAAATGACACACTAAAAACTACTGCCAGTTACAGTGGTTCATGCCTGTAATCCCAGCACTTTGGGAGGCTGAGGCAAGTGGATTGCCTGAACCCAGGAGTTCAAAACCAGCCTGGGCAATTTGGCAAGACTCTGTCTTCACAAAAATAAAAATTAAAAAAGTAGCCAGGCATGGTGGTTTGCACTGTAGTCCCAGCTACTCAGAGGACTGAGGTGGAGGATCACTTGAGCCTGGGAAGTCAAGGCTATAGTGAGCCATGATTACACCACTGCACTCCAGCAGCCTAGCAACAGAGCAAACCCAGTCTCAAAAAAAAAAAAAAAAAGAAAGAAAGAAAGAAAAAGGAAAAGAAACTACAAACATGGCCAAAAGAAATTAAAGAAGACACAAATAAATGGAAAGATATCCTGTGCTTCCAGGGTTAAAACACGAATATTGCTAAGATGTTGATATTAACTAAAGCAGTCTAGATTTAATACAATTTCTATCAAATCTCACATGGGCATTTTTTGAAGAAATAGAAAACCCCATTCTAAAATTCAGATGGTGGTTCCTGAATAGCTAAAGCAATCTTGGAAAATGAACAACTTGAGGCCGGGCACAGTAGCTCACACCTTTAATTGCAGTAGCTCATGCCTGTAATTGCAGTACTTTGGGAGGCCAAGGTGGGTGGATCACCCGAGGCTCAAGTATGAGACCAGCCTGCCCAACATGGTGAAATCCTGTCTGTACCAAAAATTCAAAGATTAGCAGGGCGTGGTGTTGCATGCCTGTAATCTCAGCTACTAGGGAGGCTGAGGCAGGAGAATTGCTTGAACCCAGGAGGCAGAGGTTGCAGGAAGCCGAGATTGTGCCACTGCACTCCAGCCTGGGCGACAGAGCAAGACTCTATTGAAAGAAAGAAAGGGAAAGAAAACAAAATAAACAAAACAAAAGACATCTCTGCCTCTACCAAAAACAAAAATAATTAGGCCGGGCATGGTGGTGGGTGCCTGTAATCCCAGCTACTCAGGAGGCTGAAGCAGGGGAATCACTTGAGTTGGGCGGAGGTTGCAATGAGCCGAGATTGTGCCACTGCACTCTAGCCTGAGTGACAGAGTGAGACCTGGTAAAAAATAAAAATAAAAAATAAAAAATAAAGTTGGAAGTCTCATACTTCCTAATTCTAAAATTTATTAAGTAAACCCACAGTGATCAAAACAGTATAGTCCAGCCTGGGCAACATGGCAAAACCCCATCTACAAAAGATACAAAAATTAGCCAGGCATGGTGGTGCACACCTGTAGTTTCAGCTACTCAGGAGGCTGAGGTGGAAGGATTATTTGAACCCAGGAGGTTGAGGCTGCAGTGAGCCAAGATTGTGCCACTGTATTCCAGCCTGGGCAACAGAATGAGATGCTGTTTCAAAAAACACAAACAAACTGTGCAGTATTGGTATACAGATAGACATATATAGAATAATGGAATGGAACAGAAAGCTTGTGAAGTGTTTATTGGCAGCATACATAAGTACTAAAATTGGAAAGATACAGAGAGCATAGCATGCTCCCTGTGCAAGGATGACAAGCAAAAGTGAGAAATTATTTTAAAAAATTAAAAGAATACAGGGTCCAGAAATAAACTCTCATACATATAGTCCAATAGTTTTTGGGGTTTTTTTTGAGACGGAGTCTTGCTCTGTGCCCCAGGCTGGAGTGCAGTGGCATGATCTCGGCTCACTGCAAGCTCCGTGCCCCCAGGTTCACGCCATTCTCCTGCCTCAGCCTCCTGAGTAGCTGGGACTACAGGCACTCACCACCACGCCCGGCTAATTTTTTGTATTTTTAGTAGAGATGGGGTTTCACGGTGTTAGCCAGGATGGTCTCGATCTCCTGACCTCGTGATCCACCCGTCTCGGCCTCCCAAAGTGCTGGGATTACAGGCTTGAGCCACCATGCCCGGCCTAGTCCAATAGTTTTAAATTAGGGTCCTAAGACTAGTCAGTGGAGAAAGGAGTTTTTCAACAAATGATTTTAGGAAAACTGGATATCTACATGCAAATGAATGAACCTGACCTCTTACACTATATACAAAATCAACTCTAAATGAATCCAAGACCTAAAATGTAAGACCTAAAAATGATAAAACTCTTTTTTTTCTTTTTCTTTCTTACCTTTTTTTTTAAGAGATGGGGTCTTACCGTATTTGCCCATGTTGGTCTTAAGTTCTGGGATCAGGCCATCCTCTTGCCTCAGCCTCCCAGAGTGCTGGGATTACAATTGTGAGCCACTGTACCTGGCCTATAAAACTCTTGAAAGAAAACACAGAGAAAGCAATTCTTACATAATGGATTTGGCAATGATCTCTTGGATATGGCACCAAAAGCACAGACAACAAAAAATAGGTAGATAAATTGAACTACATCAAAATTAAAAACTTCTTTTTTTTTTTTTTGAGACAGAGTCTCATTCTGTCACCTAGGCTGGAATGCAGTGGTGCAATCTTTGGCTCACTGCAACCTCTGCCTCCCGGGTTCAAGTGATTCTCCTGCCTCAGCCTCCTGAGTAGCTGGGATTACAGGTGTGTGCCAGTCGCGCCCAGCTAATTTTTTTATTTTTAGTAGAGACAGGGTTTCATCATGTTGACCAGACTGGTCTCGAACTCCTGAGCTCAGGTGATCCACCTGCCTTGGCCTCCCAAAGTGCTGGCATTACAGGCATAAGCCACTGTGCCCGGCCCATACTGGCATTTTAAAGCACCTTCTCCAGTGTCACTAAGAAACCCTAGAGAAATACAGTTGATCCTTGAACAACACAAGTTTGGATTGCAGGGTCCACTTATATGCAGATTTTTTTCAATAAAAGTTGCACCATGCGCCTGCCTCTCTTGCCTTGCCTCCCACCCCCTACATCACTACTTGCCTCTCTGCCATCGCTGGGACAGCAAGACTAACCCTCCTCTTCTTCCTCCTCCCCCTCAGCCTACTCAGTGTGAGGATGATGAGGATAAAGACCTTTATGATGATCCACTTTCACTTCAGGAATAGTAAATACATTTTATCTTCTTTATGATTTTCTCAATAACCTTTTCTTTTCTCCAGCTTACTTTATCGTATGAATATAGTATAGAATATTTATACTAAACATGGTTAATTGACAGTTCATGTTACAGATAAGGCTTCTGGTCAACAGTAGGCTATCAGTAGTTAAGGTTTTGGGGAGTCAGCACTACAGGTTGCTACCTCAGCCCTCAAGTGTTGCTCAAGGACCAACTGTACTTTTAAAATTTATTTATTTTTTTAGAGACAGTGTCTCAAGTGCTGTAGCCCAGGCTGGACTGGGTAGAGGTACAATCACAGCTCACAGCAGCCTCAGCCTCCTGGGCTCAAGCAATCCTCCTGCCTCAGTCTCCTGATTAGTTGGACCATAGGCATGCACCAATTACGCCCAGTTTTTTTATTTTTATTTTTGTGGATCTCCTTATGTTGCCCAGGTTGATCTGGAAACTGCTGCTCAATCTATCCTTCTGCCTTGGCCTCCCAAAGTGCTGGAATTGTAAATGTCACCACTCGAGCCCAACTGTATCACTCTTTTTTTTTTTTTTTTGAAACAGTCTCGCTCTCTTTCACCCAGGCTGGAGTGCAGTGGCATGGTCTCAGCTCACTGCAACCTCCGCCTCCCAGGTTCACGCAATTCTCCTGCCTCAGCCTCCCAGGTAGCTGGGATTACAGGCACATGCCACCACGCCCAGATAATTTTTGTATTCTTGGTGAGCTGGGGTTTGCACCATTGGCTGGCTGGTCTTGAACTCCTGACTTTAGGTGATCCACCCACTTCAGCTCCTTAGTAGAGATTACGTGGCTGGCGTGGAGTTCACCGCGCCCGGCCCCAGCTGCATCTCTACTTGTGAACTCCCAACATTTGATGGGGATGTGAGTTAGGACTGTGGGCAGAGAGATTTGCCCTCTCAAAACCCGGGCAGCTGCCTTCTCCACCAATGTTGAACCTCAGGGCAGTTCTGCTCTGACAACAGCTGGAAGGCTCGACTGAAGGGGAGAGAGAGCTGGAGGAAGGAGAGAAGGCACCTGCTTTTCCATTTTTGACTGGGATCCAGTTGAAACAGTCTAGCCAGTCAAAAGGGCATTTACTATTCCAACAGCTCTGAGAATCCTGAGACAGAGAGCAGCCTCTTTCTAAATACTTGATCTGCTATTCCTGTGGGGAAGTAGACAGCAAGACTGCTGTACTGAGGAATGTAATTTTTGGCACATTCTCTGGGAGCAAAGTTTTCAAGTTTCATAGATTTGCAGTTTCCCTGCATTGCAGGAACAAAGTGGTGGTGGCCCTGACTGTCATATTCTTGATCAATGGACAGAATAGTGGGCAGTGCCTGCTGGCCTGTGTGGATTGTTAGGCACGTGCACCCAGTGGTTCCAGCCTCAACTAACTCCAGCCTCTTCGGCTGGGCTGCAGGCTGATAAGGCAGCAGAGAGCAAAGCCAGATATTTTCCACTTTGTCCTGAGACACTGCCGTGCAGTGGTCGTCATGTTCTTAGCGCCTGCAGCAGCAGGGTAAATTCCTCCTCAGTAATGTTCTCCAGCCAACTCTTTCTCTGACTCATTTTTTCTTCGGTCCCTGCACAGTTTTAGTCCCTGGAACATCGCATTTTAAAATGCATGAGGCTGGGCATGGTTGCTTGTGCCTGTAATCCCAGCACTTTGGGAAGCCGAGGTGGGAGGATCACCTGAGATCAGGAGTTCAACACTAGCCTGGCCAACATGGTGAAACCCCGTCTCTACCAAAAAATACAAAAACTATCCCAGTGTGGTGGCACTATAATCCCAGCTACTTCGGGAGGCTGAGGCAGGAGACCGCTTGAACCCAGGAGGCGGAGTTTGCAGAGCCAAGATGGCACCACTGCACTCCAGCCTGGCCACAGAGGCACTTGTCTCAAAACAAAACAAAACAAAAAACCAAATGCTGAAACTCCGGTATAATGACCCATTCATCTTAAAAAATACCCAATTGAGGAACAATGTAGATCTGTTATCTTCATTTTACAACTGAGGAGACAGACAGAAAGAAGGATGGTAGTGATGACCATAATGAGGAACAGGAAACTCCCCTCTTGCTTCCCAGAGAGAGCACATGAAGCCATAGGTGTCCTGGTAAACAGGCCTCCACTCCATCCCCACACACTCATCAGCCTCCACTTGCTCCCAGGCACCCTCCTGAACATACTCACCCTTTTTATTTAGTTAGTTATTTTATTTTATTTTACTTTATTTTATTTATTCATTTTGAGATGGAGTTTCTGCTCTGTCACCGAGGCTAGAGTGCAATGGCCCGATCTCGGCTCACTGCAACCTCTGCCTCCCGGGTTCAAGCGATTCTCCTGCCTCAGCCTCCTGAGTAGCTGGGACTACAGACATGTGCCACCATGCCCAGCTAATTTTTGTATTTTTAGTAGAGATGAGGTTTCACCATGTTGATCAGGCTAGTCTCGAACTCCCGACTGGACGAGCCACCCACCTCAGCCTCCTGCAAAGTACTGGAATTACAGGCATGAGCCACCACACCTGGCCTTTATTTACTTATTTTAAAATGTATTTATGTATTTTAGGCCACATGTGAGTATGCACTCAATGTACTCCAGCCTGGGCAACAGAGTGAGACTTTGTCTCTAAATAAATAAATAAAATTTATATATGTATTTTACTTTTTCTTGGTAGAGGTGGGGATCTTACTATGTCCTGTATATTGGTCTTGAACCCCTTCCTGGCCCCTGAGGCTCCCTCGCTTAGCAGGTGTCCTGTCTTCCTTTGGCTTTAGTCCAATTTAATTGGTGAGTGTTAGTTTAAACAAATTATGTAAGGCTTTTTTCTAATTCAGGCTGTTACTTCAATCTGTGTGATTCTGACATTCCTACACATGGAAATTCTCCATGCCCTGGCCAGGAGGTCAAAGGAGGGAATATTCCGAAAAGATTTGCTGATCTGGAAGCAAAACAAATCCATTATAATGATCCAAGTATACATTGTTTTTGGTTTGTTTGTTTTGTTTTTATGCTTCTGTGAGATATTTTTGTTGGAAACCAGAGAACTATAAGAAACAGTTTAAGCAAGTGAGTCAGTGATCACACCTGTAATCCCAGTGCTTTGGGAGGCTGAGGTGGGAAGATTGCTTGAGCTCAGGAGTTTAAGACCAGCCTGGGCAACACAGCAAGATCCCATCTCTACAAAAAATACAATAATTAGTCAGTGTGGTGGCGGATACCTGCAGTCCCAGCTGCTCGGGAAGCTGAAGTGGAGGATTGCTTGAACCAGGGAAGTCGAGGCTGAAGTGAGCTGAGATTGTGCCACTGTTCTCTAGCCTAGGCAACAGCGTGATAATCTTGTCTCAAAATAAAAGAAAACAAGAAAGGAAAAAAACAGTCAGTGGCCGAAAGTGTGGTGGCTCCTACCTGTAATCCCAGTGCTTTGGGAGATCAAAATGGGAGGATTGCTTGAGGCCAGGAGTTTGAGACTAGCTTGGGTACCCACAGTGAGACTCCATCTCTGAAAAAAAAAAATAGCTCGACATGGTGGTGTGTGCCTGCAGTCCCAGCTACCGGGA